ACTTACTTCCTACTTCTTACTATTTACTTCCATTGTAGACGTCCCTTAACTTTTGATGCGTTCGCTTTGAGTGCTTTGCGCTGTGAGCGTCATTCTATCTTTTTCTCACAGGTAATGAGCGATAAAGATAGAATGACTTAAGCGCCCAAACGAACGCATTAAAAGTTAAGGCCGGTTTATAATGGCCGTAATCCGTTTCTTATGCCGGAACTGTAAAAATTGACCAATCACAGTCGATTATTTTTGTATAATTCGATTGATTGGTCAATTTTTTACGGTTCCTGCATAAGTTAACAGATTATGGCCATCATAAACCAGTCTTTACCCGAACTCGCAGCCCTGTTTGGGTACGTTCAGATTCCCTACCCGGGTGCACTCTTCTAATACTAGAAGTGCTATAGTATATGTAACATATACTATAGTATTTCTAGTAATAGAGTGCACCCGGGTAGGGAATTTGAACGCACCCTTTGAGAGTTGATAATAATGGAGTAATGGCGTAGAGACACTAAATGTAAAGGGGGTCTTAGCCAATTATTGAAGTGAAGTGAGAGTTGATAAACACAGAAAACGTGTTCTTGAACTGTTAGTTCAAAAATGTGAATATTAAATTCTACGAAAAATATTTGTGATTTTATCTTTAAATTTATACAACGCATTTTACAAATTTGTGTCACGTTTTTTTCTAACAGATCTACATATACTCAAGTTTCGTATACATTATTTAACGTTAAAATCTAATCTAACTTTATTGCGTGTTTTGTAATTTATAAAACATGAATCTCCTGCCGAAAACACATGAAGAATTCAGTCATGCAGAATACTGGAACACGTTTTTCAAAAAACGTGGTAAAAAAGCTTTTGAATGGTACAAAAATATATATTATTCTGCTATTGTTAATAAAATTTAAAACAATTTTTGGGATAGTTACATGTGTAGTGCTAATTGGTTCTTCTTGAATTTAGGTACGGTGAATATCCAGAATTGTGTGAGATATTTTTAAAGTATATCAAGATCAAAGATGACATTTTAATTGTTGGTTGTGGAAATTCTACCCTAAGTATGTCACTGTACGATGTTGGATACAGGTATATAATTTTTCTTGTTTATATCCTTTGCTTATAGTCACAATTATTGATTATAAAAATATTAATCAACAGATTATTAACAATTACAATGTTGTTCTATCCTTCTAGAAATATCATTAATATCGATATATCACACATTGTCATTAAACAAATGCAAGATATTAATAATGGCACAAGATCAGACTTGTTGTATGAATACATGGATGCCACTGAAATGACATATCCTAATGAGAAATTCAGTGTAGTTCTGGACAAGGGAACACTGGATGCTTTAATGCCAGATACCAAGGAGGTCACAATATCAACAGTGGACAAATACTTTAAAGTACATCTAATTACTAATTATTATATGTATAAATGCTTTACATAATTTATACAAATATAAATACCACACATAAGATTCAATAACAGGCAAAATATGTTTCAGGAAATCACACGAGTATTGCGCAATGGTGGCAGGTACATTTGCATATCGTTGCTGCAGGAGCACATTCTTCGGAAAGTCTTGTCTTATTTCCCTAC